GGTGCAAAACAATCTCTGACACATATCACATGTGCCAGTCACATGCCACATGCCATCACTACCATCATGACTACCATGGACCATGACATGACATCGTGGTCCAGTGCTGCCAGGTGGCAGGGATGGGCCACGGGAGACACCAACCATGCTGTGCAGCTGAATGACGGTCATGACCATGCAATGCATGCTGTTCCCAGCCTCGCGGCATCGTTACTTCATGTCTGCCGCGTCTGCGAAGCTGTGTGCAGACATGAAGTGGGACCCAAGTGGGATGGTCAATATGGGACAACATCATCCGACATGACCCAGTCGGCGGACGACCACATGATGCAAGAAGCAGGGCACCGTTCGCCAGCAGCAGAAGCAAAAGTGCATCGCAAAGAGCAGCAACAGAATGGCATCAAGGTCAGCACCATCAGTATCATTCGGGGCGGTCTAGAACGTCGCCTAAACTGACAAAAGCAGTGGTACCACTGGAACTCCCGCGAAACCAGCGTCGCACCGCCTGTAGCCAGCACGCTGAGAGAAGATCAATACTGCCGGCTGCTTTTCAACTTTTCAGCTGCAAACGCAAATTGAACTGGAGCTGGCGGAACCCGAAGCCCGAAACAACAGTCCTGAATAAGTCCCGGAATCAACAACTTTGACTTGGACTTGGACAGTTGATGCGTGGCCGGCGGCGTGGTCTTGGAAGTCTCGGATGATGATGATGATGATGATGATGATGATCAAGAAGATGATGGATGATGAGGACGATGCTCATGATGATGGTGTCGGGACGGTTATGTGACATGTGGTTTGACGTGGAGGGACGTGACGTGACTCCGCATGTAGCACGCGTGCAATGCATGATGGGTCATGGGTTAGCAGTACTGCACGCGTGCCATTGCCATGCCGCTACAAAGCAAGTACACTGACGTACGCTGCACCACTGTACTGTACCCCAGCTACACTATGGGCCTGGCTGCCACAGTGACGAACGCTGCGCGACGGGCGCTCCAAATTGAAGGAGCACAAGGGTATGTTTCTGAGGCTAAAGGAGTTGACTGCGTCCAGTAGATTGAACACCCCAGGGACCACAGGGAAGCCTTGTGTAGCCAGGAGTTCACTTGCGAACAGCCATCGTCCGCCTCTGCCAGCCCCGTCAAAGAAGAGCAGGCCTGTGTTTATGAGGGTGGCCAACGCCCACGGTTGGTTGGTGGCTCCGAAGCCAGAGCAGGGGTTCTGGTTCAGTTGGTAGACCTGTCCGGGCCATTTGGAACGGTAGCTGGACAAGTATCCAAGCTCGGCTGTCAAAGCGTTCAGGTACGCTTCTGGGTCGTTTGGGCTTTGCGCCGGCAGCGGGCGCTGCTGTGCTTGCGAGGGTGGTCGGGCCTGCGCCCAGCGAAGTTCGGTCTCGTCTTCCTCTTTGACAACAGTAGTGTGGTACTCACCAGGACGACAGAAAAAGAACTCGTTCCATGCCCAGCTACATACGCGCCAAAAGCGCTTGGCGAAATCTGCCATGGGCGAAATCTCACTCAAGACTTTCGCCCGGCGCCGGAACCGCAGATACTGCCTCAACCTCTCCTGAGGGACCCCGAAGGAAACGGCATCTGCCTGAAACTGGTCAATCCAGTAGAATTTCAGGAAAAATCTGCAGGCCAGGGCGTGCAGGACGCTGGGGTCGCCTGCAGCAAGCTGCTGCCCACGCTTGCTGAATGCCACGCAGGGCGTTCCGGCTACGTGGCGGTCTGCCACTTTCAGGTGGCACTGCCGACCGTGCTGCAGGCAGTGCGCAGACCGCGTCACTGCAGTCTGCGACGCGAGCAGCCAGCACCTCTGTGGCCATGGCGGGATTGTTCTGGAGCTGACATATGACTGGCTTCAGGTCCGGCGCCCAGAAGGCAGAAATGTCTCCAAACAGGCAAGGACGATCTTCAACCTTCGGGTGTTGATGCGCAGCCATTAGCTTAAGCTCCTCCTGGCATTGGGCATCCCACTCAATGCGGTGGAAGATGCGGCCCGGCCGTACCTCATGACCCAGCTGAGATTGCGCGGCGAAGCGAAGGCAATTCATGGCCGTTCCAGGTGCATCCACACCAGAGAAGGCGGTGCTGACCGTATCAGCTTCCAGGCGCTTCGCAATATTCTGCACGTCTGCCATGCCTTCATCCTCACAGACTTTCAGGCACCATTCCCAAAACGCCATGGAGTCGGCCAAAGAGGTTGCGTGTTCCCCTGGTCCCTTCCGCGTGGGCTTGCTCTCCGTCGCCTGACATGTGTGACATGCAGCTTGTGTGTCACCATGTGGTCATGCTGATCATGTTGCATGCTGCGCAAGCCAGGAGACATGCACTGTCGTTGCACGACAGCATGACATGTAGAATCAGGACTCGCCCATCATCGCGCGACGCATGGGGCAGTGACACGTCAAGACAGGAAACCATGGCAAGTGTGCTCGTGTAGTGCGCTCGCAAGTTCTGTGCAGACTACATGTCGAGCTGGCATTTTCTCCGTTACATGTGTCACACGTGGCACAGACACAGCGCTGGCATGTACGTGTCCATTCTTGTCAAATATTGTCAAGAGTTTCAACACAAGATAGAAATTGAGGGACGCAGGAACAGGCACAGGAATCGTGATGCTCACCTGTGGGCATGTATGCACGTGCAATGCAGTGTACATGCATCCGTGAATGCGACATGCTGTCTTTTCAATCATGCAAAGGTTCCATGCCTTCTGGCCCTTCTGCTGCTCATTCGCTGTCACTTCGGCTGCGTTCAGTTGGCCCTGCTCTTGCAGTCTGCGTGCTGGTCGGCATGGGCTTGGCACGAGCATTACGCGACCTGGCACCTCATCTGTGGGCTCTGCCGGCTGATCCGGCTTGGGGCACGTGGCAGCAGGTGTTGGTTGTGTTGGGCTGCACTCCTGGGCCTGGGCACACTCCTTGGCAACCGGTGTCGGTGTCGGCGTTCGTGGTGCTTCTGCTGATCCCGACTCTGCGCATGACGCTGACGGCCCTTCTGCAGCGTCCGACTTTGTGGCTGCCTCCGCAGGCACATCGTTCACCTCTACAGGCGTGACGTGCTCAAGATCATGTGTGCCGAGCTTCGTGTCCTCCCCGACCTTGCCTGAGGCCGCACATGCGTGGTCATCCTTGTGCTCCTCCTTAGCATCCACCGCCTCATTAGCGGCAGCCTTCTGCTCTCTGTCCTCGTGGACCTTGCCCTCCTCTTCCTTGGGCTCAGCAGTGTCCTCAACATCCGCATGAACACCCTTCATGCCACCATCACGGCCACCACGCTCCACGGCCGCACATGTGTGGTCATCCTCGTGCTCCTCCTTAGCATCCCCCACCTCACTAGCGGCAGGCTTCTTCTCTCTGTCCTCATGGGCCTTGCCCTCCTCTTCCTCGGGCTCCGCATCAACACCCTTCATGCCACCATCACGGCCACCACGCTCCACGGCGTCCCCATCCTCCCTGTCATCGCCACCCTCGCCGTCACCGCCAGACGGGCTGGCAAAGTACTCATCCATCACCTGCTCGAGCGCGTGAGTCAGGATGTCCTCGCCGTCCGGATCATCCGCGGCGGCGCGCACGTTGCCATCAGCGTCCTTGACATCGCCCTCTGCCGCGACGTCCTTGGTGTCCCCCTTAGAAGTCTCCACGATGGTCGCCGCTTCCTCCGTGACTTGCTCCCGTTTCTGAATCATGTCGCGCAGATCCGCTTGCCTGCCCTTGTTTGCATTGGCAGTCTCGGCTGATCCCTTTGTCGTGGAAGTGCTTGCAAGGGGTGGGACAATGTCATCACGATTCTCTGCCACATCTTCCTGTTTCCAACGGATCCATGCTCCCTGCTCCTGCGGCGCATGTAGCGTCAGACATGTCATGAGTCATGCAGTCATGTACTGTTACTGGCAGCTGCGTGTGTCACGCCATGCTCATGATGATTCATGATGATGCCGACACTTGCGTGGCAAACATGTTCACGAACGTCATGCCATGGGCCATGGCTCTATGGTG